GACTAAATTTACCATTTTAGGCTCTATAAATCTTAGTTCATGGAATCAAGTCAACACTGAGTTCCATTAACTAGTTATTAATTGTATTCAAAAAAGCTACATAAAACATTCATGTCAGTTTTTCTAACTATGCATATAGCCAAAGCAAATTACAAATAATTTATGCAGATACATAAACTTGTATATGCCTCAGACTATGAAAAATAAATATTTGTAGCGTTCCCCCAATATGTTCAATAAATATTGAACAGTTTTTCCATTTGTTACGCTCTTCATAACTTTAAAAATAGTCATGTAGCCCACATCTTTCGTTGATGTACACTTCATATTTTTATAATAAAATTAACTAGGCCTTGTCATTAAAATTTTTAACTCATTTCATTCTTTAGAATTAGTTTAAATGAATGCCAAAACTTAAAACGACAAGATATGACTCAGTCTTGTGATAACAAATGCATAACTGTGGTTCCTTCTTCACTATAGTAGTTAGCATGAACTATTAAATTTCTGTTGAAGTCTATGAAAATAGTGATTTAATAATGATGAACTATGGCGGCTGATTCTTTCATTCATTAGCATACATATTAAAATGAAAGGTTGTTATATATGCATAAATATATATGATTGTCTTTTATACTATGATGTGCATGTTTATGTACATAATAACAAAAATAGATATTCTTGATTGTTTTCAAAGCCAGTCACTATATAAAACTAAGTATACGTAACTTCTGTTAGTTTGATTGACCTGTGCAGTCAGTATTTAGTTCCAGCATATGTTATAAATAGATACTGGTGTAATTAAGAAAGAAAGACGTTTTCAGTTACACAACTAGTACACATAGACATTATTCGTCTTTTTGTCTCCTTATTGCTGTAATTAGACCAGACATACCCCGGACTCCACAAAAAGGTGTACAGATTTATTTCTAAAAAATACCTTCGTGCTTTTCTGCATTATATCATTTCTGTTGTTGAATGCAACTGAGTTGACAGTTAGAGGTAATTCTTACCTTGAAAACCAAGTTAAATTTCATCTATTTGAGGAGAATGACAAAATGAAAGGCTTGTGTTTTTAGCTTTGATTTATAGTAAAATAAGTGCTGATGAATTCACCTAGCCTTGTGACTAAATGCTGAGGAATTTGTCCCAAAGTTCGGAGAGTACTTTGCAATCAGAGTGAAGTTATTTTACGAGATCTAAAAGCACTATGGTATTCTGTAAGGGTTGTCTTTCTCAGTAATTCTCATCATCATTTTATTTTAGCGAATGAATAGGTGAAGAACTGAGGTTTAAAAACTGTGAACTGATTATAGCACCAAATACTAAAATCATTTTGAACTGAGTATATCGTAGATAATGACCAGTTAAATAAACTGTCATTTGGTTGTAGCCTTTGTCAGTAGGAGTGGTTCATCGTACTTACATCGGAATACAGATGACATTGTAGCTACAGAAATGTGTAAGTCAGCATGGCGATGACTACAAGATGTACTTCATACACTTCTTCACTGGGTAGTTTACAACTAAAGTAGCTCAGAAACAGATCCCGAGTGACGTGATAACAGATGTACTTATGAGTTTTGAATATGTATTAGCTGTAAACTTTGTTCATATAAAACTTCAGGCTCTGTTTGTTCAGTTGATCCTTACCTAACCCAACTTATCTCAAATCGGTTAGAATTCTCTTTAAATGTTTATAGGTCGTTATTATAACTTATTTTCTCCTACCGTCTTTACTACGTCCACTTAATAGGGTTTTTCTTTATTTAAGTTGAGGTTTGAAATGATGCTTTCTGAGCTCAAAGCTTATTCGAAACATTAATATGAATGCAGTTGCATCTAACCAACGGAGCCCAAATGAGATGATCACTACTTCTTTATTCACTTGCACTTTTATTGCCATATATCAAGCAGTCATTAGTGATCCTGTCATCTTGACTATGATTGTAAATCGGACAAAATGGTTTATAGAAAACATTACAGTTTGAGGCTTCCCCTTGATATTTTTGTGTTTATAGTATTGTTTACTGAATAGGTTTTGTTGCACTGGACTGATGCACGTCACTTCTTCGGGATTTAGACATCACCACTTACATTTTATATAATGTTTTAAGAAAAATTTGCGAGTTTTCTATGAATGTAAGAGTAGAACGTGGGCACTGTGTCAGAGCATAACTCCGTTCTAGATTGTTTAGTCTATGCAGCACACAGCTATGTAGTATAATTTACTGGGTAAAGTTTCATACGAATTCATATGATATGAATGTAAGCAATAAATTTTGCTCGAAGCGTAATCCAGTGAGTAACACTGCATTAATGTGCGCTATATCAGATAGACAGTAGAATATAAACTAGATTGTCTGTTTGTCAAAATTCAAAGGGGCTGAGGACTGACTATCTATAAAATATCTATTAGCCGAGTAACATTTTGTACTTCAGAGACAGTCCATTGAAGTGCGAAATTAGTTTCACACCAAGAGAAAAAACAGCGATGACTTGATTATTTGTTGTAGTTTTTATGCGAAGCTGACCCATCTTGAAGGAACGCTACCGATAGTCTGATCCAACAAGAAAGTAGTAAAATTGCAGTCTTATTTGATTTATCATATGTGTAAAATATAGTTAAGTAGCACTTTTGACAGTCATGATGCTGGGACACTGAGTGGACTGGTTTCAAGCTTTTTTAAGGAGGATAAAGCACATGTGGTATATGACCACAAAATGCGGCATCAAAAATATTACTCAGCGTATATTCTGACAGTCTGATATTAGATGCATACAAAGGAGGTGTAAAATATTATCGCAACGTGTGATTATCCCAAAAGTTGCTTTTGTGGTAGTTACAAAATCATTTCACTCAGGTTAGCTTTAATAACGAGTTGATATCGATGAGAAAGTCCTTGAAAACTACAGAGATCTGAACACTTCAGCAATATGCAATTGTGGCCTGTATGCAGGAGGTAGATCACAGCAGTTAACAATTGAAACAAGCACATTGTCATTTAACTATTGTGTTAAAAACCTCTGATACGCACTTCCAACCTTTTGTCCATATGTAAAAAGTAGTGCAGTCGTAACCAGGTAACGTCGAAATACATCAAATCTCTAAATAATTTGTCAAACATTTTTTCAATAAATGAATGCTAATTACTTGATTCACTATTCCGAGATTATGGCTATTCAGGATAAGTTTGTGGACTGAAAAATGAGTATCTAGCTGACAGCCATCCTCATTTAATTACACCATATTTACACTTTTAAACGCATGAAATAATGGATCCCTGGAACCACAGCCAACTGGATACATTTTTGTATATCTAATGTTTCGGCAGGAACAATTATAAGATATGAAGCCACTGATATAATATTAATAGGTTGTTGATATTCTTGTCCTGTATGACGAATGAGTTGGCATTCTCCTGGAGTAAACGCCTTCTCTATTCGAATCTTGCCTTATTAAGACAGTAATTGAGGATTCTAGTGGTAAATGTGATGAATCAAAGTACTCAGCTAAAATGTACACCTTTGATGCATTTTAAAAAGCTTATAAAATAATAGTTGCCATCTTTTTAAGGCACACGAATCATACTATACAACTTGAAGGTTACACAGGCTTGGAAAAGTCCAAATTAAACAGAGATATCATCCATATCAGAAAATGTAGCATTACAAATTTATCAGGATAATTTCATTCTTCTGTTGTGTCTAACACTTAGAAGCGCATCTCTTATTTAAGACATTTTAGCGACGAGTTCATCCACTAGGTTGTTCACTGATAGTGTAATATACTCAGATAGGGGGTAATGATGATCATGCTCTTGCTTAGCAGGTATCAACTACCCCTGAAGTTATTTACACAGGCAGTCCATATTTCAACAAACTCTAATCCCTTACTTTTGAAAATCTACAATGAGAAACTATACACTAGTGATGGATAGTGGATTAGAGTGGCACTCAGGACGTGGACTTGTCCTATTTGTGACTCCTCAGCTGGATGTGCCTGCCTCCCAATGAGCGACATTGTTTCCACCAGGGCTCGAACTTAGGACCTACTGCTTCAAAAGCTAGAGGGTTATTCGCTAGACCACGAAGACACAATAGTCTCTTCTTGTGCGACGGGTAAACTTTTAATGTTGTTGCTTGTATTATCCCTTGATAATACAGGCGACAACACTACAATGAGAAATCCAAACTTTTAATAACAGCCTGTCATAATATTTACTAATGAGTTGTATTCACTATTTCATTAGTGAACTGCAATCTTTACTCTTTCAGAGAATAATCCTTCAAAAGCCCGCTAAGTATATTTCAATATAGATGAGTGAAATATACCACTGTTTACAGTGTATTACACTAAGCGACTTGCCAAGTTTTCTTTCAAATCTAATCATTAAACGAAAATCAGTAATACAAAGACTTTTGCATCAGGTAACAAGAATTCAGGTAGTCTGACCAGTTAAAAACATTATTATATAAAGACATTCTTCAAAATATAACTTCTGTACTATATCTGTTTCAATGAATTTAAACAGGTTAGTGTAGTACCAATTGTTCGTACCTTGCTTTAGATGCTTAAGCCAACTATTATCACACTGCATTTTGGTTCAAAAGAGAAACAATGAAGTGTAAACACTGATAATATAAAAGATTGAAAAAAAACCGTTCAGAACTTGGAACTAGACAACTTGGAATTAGTTACTCTTCGGTGATCAGTCAGTATAACTAAGAATGTATTTCTAGATGAATTCACCTGAACACTGAACAACGAAGTTTTACATGAAAAAAAAGACCATTAAATATGGTTGAATTATTCACTTCACTAAAAGGTGAACAGGTTAAGAGATTTTTGGTTTGTACACCAGAAATTTGTAGTTATCGGTCAAAGGTATGTCCTCAGAATAAAGTATATATGAATTAAAGGCGTTATTAGATTAATATTACTGTGTATTTGTAAGATAATAAAATGTAATCAACTTAAAGAAGAAATGTCAACTCACTTCAAGATTTTTGAGATAATCCGACAGTTGAACTGATTGCACACGGTACTGACCACTCATTGTGTCGGTTGAGTTGGTATGAGATCAGATATCTTCAGCTGATTGTGTTGATAAAGCGTTGTTATGAGTATACAAGTAGTATTAATATATTGTTACTTTCTATTAAACGGTGAGTGTAGAGAAAATTTGTGTTTCTGTAATCACAGTCAAAGTGAATATTATCCAGAAATAGAATTATATTCAAACAGGACTGCAGGAGAACAATGAGTGTAAAGGGGACTTAGGAAAGGATTGTTTTAATTAACTTCGAAAGTGAGATAGATTTTTTGCAGAAAGAAAAAAAACAAGGAATTGTAGTGTTCTGCTTCCAACTGTTGTTTTTCTTTGACGAAAAAGAAGTTCAGCTGATGAGGAATAAGCAAGTTTTTGATCTCCTCATCTTGAATCAATTATATATATGTATATGTTAGATAGATTTAGAAAGGTATATGCATAGACTTTTCAACACATGCGTGCACACATACACACGCTCGTAGGGAATACGCGTACTTTGAAGTGATGACAGTTTGTAGAAAAAGTTGAAAGACAGATGGACTGTCAAGTTAGACAGTTTTACTGATTTCAAAGCACTTCAGTGTATGTATAATGTTTATGCGTGTAAGCAATGAAATAATTAGGAAACTATTATTACACTATTACTAGTTGAAATAGTAATGATAACTCGTGTATTACTAATGTTAAAAGGTGATAATGATATGTATGGAGTATTGATTATCAACGCGAATGAAACCGAAAATCAACCGAAGTTATGAGAAACACAAATTTTTGCGTTGTTCTATCTAACTGTTTTCTAAAGAGTTGAGAATTTATGGATTTACCGAAATAGTAAACGAGAATCCAAGTGTGCGTTGATTAGAGTAGATTATATTTCATAAACTCACTTGAACCAATCACTATTGTGCAGTATAGTTGTAAATTTTTAGAGAAATCAAACAAAAAAACTTTTGTGCTAGTTGGATCGTAATTTTAATCGATATGAATATGTGTTTGTAATGAGAAAAGTAGTTAGAGTGCACAAGACAGGTATAAAGCACTGAAACCGACTCAGGTATGTACTTACTGCGTGTCTCTGTGCATATGTAATATGCATTGTATAACTTATGTACCTACACGCTGATATATATGAGTGCTAAATTTTTTAGGGTTGTGTTGTAGTAAAGTTGTAGTTGGCAAATACTCTCCGTGTACATACGCGCGCGTGTGTTTCTGTGTAGTGCACACCTATATGATTTCCAGTTACTCGCATTTTTTCTGCGTTCCAAGAGTCGTTCTGTATTATTCTATAACGGTTTTCGGAATAAAGAGAGACAGTCAACTTTAGCACGCTTAATGATAACATGAAACAGCCAGGCATAATACATTACTATGCCAGCATGTAAGCTATTATAAATAATCTATTGAAAAAACTATCGTTTTACAGTGCTTCATATTATACACACATATTTATGTAGCAAGCTGTTGATATTCCGAGTAGCTTTAATTTGCTGATTCAAATACAGTTTGAATCCGTAGGTGTTTGAGTTTGTAGTAATATACAATCACAAATACACATACAAATGTAAACAACTCACCAAAATAAATAAACAGTTCACATTCACTTACAGCAAAACACCGTAGTTTTATGTCTAAGGTCATCCATTTAGAATTAGCATAAGTTCATTCAAATCATTGATTATTCACTTTCATAGTAAGCGAACTGCAAAACTTACTGTAACTTACTTGTTTAGGATAAAATACATTCAGGTGCTCATTTGTCTCATATTGATTATTCACTAATCAGTTTTACTAATTGAGACAATCGGAGTTTACCAGACTTGTATTGATACTAAGTGGCGATTGAAGGTAAGGTGAAAACCTGACAAGTAAAAGGATTCGAACTAGTGACTCTCAGATTCTCACACCAGTGCTCTACCAGCTGAGGTACGCGACCCAGCTATGGATCATATCTTAATTCCAATTCAATCATCAAGAGTTCTGCTCGACTGCCATGTAAATTTATGGTGCACAACCGTCTGTTCATTGTATTCGCTCTGACTACTCAGCCATTAATATATCAGCTTACATTGGTCCTCAATTCCTTTAAGTAGTCTGATTAACGATAACTGGCAACTCAAATCACCACTGACCAGCGAAAGGTTCTAAATTGACTTTTTCATTTTCACTGTAACCTTTTGTTTGTCATTGATTAAGTGAAGATTTCTCTTTATTTTTCATCCTTATTTGAGAATTCACAGCTGTGTACAACGAAAATCGCTCACAGAACTATTTACAGAATATTCAAGTTGCCATTGGTCGCAGTGAAACAGTTGACATTCTTAAAAAAACAAAGTTGGTCATAAAGGTGCATAGTAACGATTCACTAACTAATAATCAATGCAATATACTGCTAAGCACTTAATACGGATCCATAGAAGATTGATGTCAGTAAGTATTTCTGAGATAATATCACAGATGGGTATCTTTTAAATGAGAAATATTACTTTTCAACTGGTTTTCAGCAGTTTTAATCATTTATGTGAGGGTAAGATCGGCACTTCTACATAGAGCTAAGACCATTAGTTATAAATTTAATAGATACAGACCGTTATATGTTAGTTGGATGGATATAATCGAGAGGGAGCCTTGGAGCTAGGTTTCGTGTTTTTTGGTCCTCGTCAACAAGGCGTATCTGCAACCTCAATGGAAGTGATATCCCACCTGAGATTTCGACCCGCTTCACCTAGTGCTGCAGTCATAGGGGTTACCACAGAACTATCCGGAACACGATTTACCCCTTTTGGAACAGTTAGTTACATGGGCTTGCCACTCGAGGGCAACCAAGTTTATGCTGTCTAGTCTCAAGTGCTAATCAATTTCTACCAAACACTTAGCGATTTGCCGGCACAGATAGGATAGATCGACACCGCGTTATAGTCTGATCACCCTTAAGATTTAATCAGCATAATACTATCTTACGTACTGTCTTTCTTCCAGGTTACTTGTCGCACTTATTTCAACTGCCCTAGTTAGTGAACCTATGAACCTTTATTGAATGACTTTCTTTTCTTACATATTACTGCCAATTTTATGTTAAACTATAATAAAGAAATGGTGCTAAGATGCTGACAACCGGAAACTATAGGACCCTTCTTACCCTCCAACACTAAAGTTAAAGCCTAAATATCACTGGACAGTTATAACTCATGATTGTTGGAAGCAGTTCCTCAGATTCTGCTGGCTGTTTTATTTTTGCATTTGTAACAGTTTTATCCAATTCAGTGATAGTTATAGGAACAAAACCCGTTTCTCATTCTAATCGACGTTGATTGGTGATAAGGTCAAGTGTAGCTGTGGGCCAATCTAATTATTATTTGTAGTTGTTTGATCAAAATTCTAACCACTTCTGAGAAAGGTTATTGGTGACCCATCTTTCTAGGTAACAACCTCACTGAGTTTTGTTTTGGATAAGCTGCTTTAAAAAATCTAAAAAATGCCAAGTAACACCTGAAGATGTCTTCAGTACCTATTTCACTTTTACCAAACATCTCTACTCGTAGCCATTACGGCAAATTATCCTGGAGCTACTTCCGTTCTCAGGACGAAAAACAGCCAATCAGTGCGGATGAGACTGAATAGATACATTAGCTTTTACTAACTTTTATCCTTAGGTTACTGTCTTTTCAGTATTTTTGACATCGAGGTAAGTCTGACGTTCTGCTTTATCACATTGAAAGTGACTGCCATGCTCATATGGACACCTGACTGCATCTCCTGCAAGTACAGACAGTGTACTCGTCTTCCAGCTCAGCATCAAAGGTGTTTGCAGCTTTTTATTTATTGTATCCATTAAAGCATAGAACCCCATACATTCTCGATAATAGTCGGTTGGGATTTAGAAAGGTTATTCAAGAGGAACGAAAACCAACTAACGATCCTATTTAATAACAGCTTACAAAAATTTAATTTGTTCGTGTTCTTCACTAACTTGATGTCGAAGGCCACCATTACAGATATTGCCAGTTTTTTTTATAGTTGAAGTTAGTGTTAGACAGGTAAGTCACTGTCTGAACAAAACCATCGGAAACGACTAAATCTCTAGGTCTGTCGATATGGGATCTAGTAAGTACTTTAGGATACCTTTCTGCTTCATCTAACAGAAAACTGAAGTCTTTCACACTCTTTACTTACGCGGGAACAATCTTTCAAAGTATTAAATTTATCATGAAAATAAGAGAAATGTATGAGGATAGAATAAACGAATGAATATTCTAAAGATATTTAGAATTTTGAAGATTACTAGTGTTAAATGCGTCTTTAGAAGAATAAGCAATCGGAAAATACTGCTGACAGTCATCAGCCATTCACGTTACACTTCTCAATTCAATTCAGACAGATAGTCAGCGGCTAATGCTAATAATTTTGAATACACTTACATGAATATATTAACATTTCCCCCAGGTATTTTCCTCTGTTAAATTACACATCAATAACGCTGGGGAATGACCAGGCTACTTCAAGGATTTACGGAAGTTGAGAAAATGTGTTATTGGATTGCAACCCAGTCGCTAAAAGGTAACTTGATCTTTATGAAACCTTACAGTTTTGTGTTCAATCCCCTATATGTTTGTGAGTACAACCCCCTGGAGAGTATTACAATGGGATGAAACAGTGCTCGTAAGTTTGTAACAGTTCTTTGATCAATGTCAACCCATGATGAAAGCCCATCTAAAATAAATATACTGCTTTATTTAACACCAGTGGGATTAAAGTATTATAATAAATAATGCTGTACGTCACTACACTTCATTTCCAGTTCACATATATAAACAACAGATATCTAAAGCCGCTGCCTGTGAATCTTTAAAATGGGTTAAAGGGAGGTAACTAGAATCCGATCTTTACTTTAGGGTTAATACATTTACGAAAAACTGAACTTTACCGATTTGGTTACCTATGGACTTGTGGCTTCACTACATGTTAGATGGTTGGAGGCAAGCGGCAGGAAGCCATAGACCTAGAAT